TCCTATGAATAGGTCGTTTTCTTTTCTTGTCTGCGCCGTGTATCTTCTTTGGGATCATTTTTATTTGAATTGTGACAAAGATGTTACAAAGAGGGATTATGATACCAACCCTTTTTTATTAATGTTTTCAGGTTGATAAGCTTTTGTCGCCAGAGTTTCAACCTTCTATAGAGCAGTTAATTCGATTTTTACCTGCAAAACGTCAGATCCATATGTTTTCAGCAACATTTCCTGTTACGGTGAAAGATTTTAAAGATCGATACCTGAAAAAACCCTATATTATAAACCTTATGGATGAGCTTACCCTGAAGGGCATAAACAAGTTTTATGCGTTTGTTGAAGAAAGACAGGAAGTTCACTGCCTCAACACTCTATTCTCAAAGGTCAGGCACAGTTGATATATGGCCATTTTCTACAATTCAAGTGAATGTTCATCTTCATTTTATGGTTTCTTTTCTGAATTTGATGTATCTATTCTCTTTGCTCTCAGCTTCAAATAAACCAACCTATTATTTTCTGCAATTCTATGAATCGTGTTGAACTTCTTGCCAAGAAAATCACGGAACTTGGCTATTCTTGCTTCTACATTCACGCGAAGATGCTTCAAGATCATCGCAACAGAGTATTTCACGGCTTCCGGAATGGTGCCTGCAGGAATCTTGTCTGCACCGGTCTATTAATAGGGCCGATTGCTATAATGATGTTTGACACTTTTATCATGTTAGTGGTATTATTGGGTCGAAACATAATTTTTCTATCTGTTTATTCTGGTGATGATTCTTCATTAATGGTTGTATAGAACCATTGAATGAGAGTCCTCCTGAAGTTATTTAGTTTGGTTTTCATACTTGGTGAACTGCTCTTGCCCTTTTTGAGATTTTGAGAACTAGCATTTTCAATATGTCCGTGTGTGTAGTTTTGTTGACATGGTTGTTCTTGTAGTATTATGAAGATTGACCTTTTCATTGTTTTCTTCTATATTTTCCTCCATATAAGTAGATAACATTCTTTTATATGGCAATAGTTCTATTTCTTTGGCTTTTATTTAAGATAAACTATTAATATCATTACATGCAACATACCATACTTTATTTTCATCTTGAATATAGTTAGTTTCTTTAGTCTAGTACCTTCTGGAGGCTGTCTGTAAAACAAAGTTATCCATATTCAGACTTCGGTATTACAACTCTGAGCTTGAATGAAGATTCTAGAAACTTCAATGCTCTAGTTGTACAAAATTTAGAAATACACCTATCTGTTTTCTGTCCTATTGCATTTATTCTTCTTCCCTTTTCTCTTACTTTCATATGGCAGACTTGTCAGAAGAGGGATCGATATTCAGGCAGTAAACGTCGTTATCAATTTTGGTTTTCCCAAGAATTCAGAAACTTACTTGCACAGGGTATGGTGCTTAGTGCTGAGATTTCAAGCGAGTTTCACGTTTCTCTTGTTTTCTCTGTTTTGTTCATAATTGTTCATGCTATGTACAGGTTGGTAGATCCGGAAGGTTCGGACATCTCGGTTTAGCTGTGAATCTGATCACCTATGAGGATCAATTCAACCTGTATGCATGTTGTCTATAGTTATTCTATAGGAGGGAATATTTTTTTAGTGAGTCAATATGTTAGATGTTATTTTTCGTATTCACATTTTTTATCTCTTTTTCAGGTATAGGATCAAACAAGAACTAGGGACAGAGATCAAGCAGATTCCTCCGCATATAGATCAAGCAATTTACTGCCGTTAATCTGTAATGACTGCAAGATAAGTTTTGTCTATGGACTGGTAAAACTGGTGAGTAATGGTTCCAGATACATTAGTTTTTGTATTAGGCTATAATTTTTGTATTGACAAATATAGTTATATGACTGTCACTAAAAATCTAATTTTCCCTAACAAACCCACGGCAGTTGTGATCTGTTAAACTGATATATCAACCGAAGGCGTCCTTATAAAGCCATTGGATAGTTTGTGTCAATTGTTAGCAAGAAATATATGCAAATGAGTAACTTAAATATGTATGAAATCATTTGCTGAGACCCTAAAGCAAAGCTACCTTCCTAGAGCATTCCATTTTAGGCACATCTCTACTCTAATGAAGTCCTTATTTTCTTGTTTCTATCATGAAGCAAATGCCACAAAATTTAGATGATTTCCAGTTCAACCAGATGAGTGCAGTGTGTTAAATCATTTTAAATGTAGCAAACATGTGGAAGCTTAAAAAAATGTGTTAATAAGTTATTTTATTCAGAACATAGTTAAATTTAGTTCTTACACAATTAAAGTACATTTACAGTAATTGCCTTTCTTTTTTTAGTGGTCTACATCGCCTTTCTTATTATAGAAACATTACGCCTGTGGAAGCCATTCGAGGATTGAACGTGAGGATTTTTATGAAATCTTTGGTTTTGATTGTGAAAAGGCATTATAGTTGAGATGATGAGTCTGTCGATGCCAAAATCCCCAAGATATTGGCATTTCATTGCTAGTGGACTCGGAAAGATATAGAATCGCCTTTGGGATTTTGTATTCTGTTGCTTTTAGGTTATGGCTTTTCCATATTTTCTCTTAAGGTTAAGCCAAGCTAATTTGTCTGCCTTTGCCTTTCTGTATGCTGTTATTTGCAAAGAATAAGTATGGTTCCTTAGCTACTTTCTACCGTCGAGTATCAATTTGGGGTATTCTACTTAGTTTGGTCGAAAGGTATAAACATCTTACCGATCGACTACTTGATCTTTACTTTAACCTGACAATTAGGACTCACTGCAATTTGCTCAAATATCATGTGTTTCAATGCTATTTTTGAAAATTCAGCCATTATTTAAGCAAGGAAAAACTGTGAAAAGTACTCTTCTTTCCGTAGATGGCATTGTCGTTGCTGTACAATTCTTTTTTCCGTTAAAAACTTTCCAATCTCAAATTTCTTGAAATCAAAGTAAAACATTTATCTTTGTAACTTCAATTTTTCTGGGTAAAAGATTTTTTTTTTTTTATTTATTTTTATTTTTTCCTTGAGTTATAATTGAGGTGATGGGAACTTGAGCTGTGGTGGCATATGGGCGTGTAGAGCCTGATAGAGGGATGGCCGTTTTTGGATAAATGGTGGTTGGGGTTGGGACCTTTTTATTTTTCATTATTTTTCTTTTCCTTTTTGGTTAAAGAAAGTGAGCGAGTTAAGGTTAATTTGTTTGAATTGGTGAAATTTTAATCAATCCATTCCCTAACCTAAAAGTTATAATAGGAATCGAGTTGTTAAACGAAACCGTTCGAGAGCTGGGCTCAGTTCGTTCACAAATGAGCAAAGCTTGAGCTCGTTTAAAGCTTGATTCAATAACAAGTTTGGCTCGGTTCGGGTTGTTAAGGCTTGAAAGGGATGAATTTTTAATAATTTTTTATAACTCTGGTAATTAAGGCTCGAGCTTGGAGCTGAATTCGAACTCGAGTTTCATTAGTGACTGTCTAAGTTAACTAGCAGAGTTGAGCTAAGCTCATTAAAGCCTTTAGCTCGAGCTCCGTTCGGTTTATCTGCACCTTTGCATAGGAATAATAGTCTGGTTAAAATAGATTAACATTATTAGAGCGCTTAATATGCCTCTCAAGTAAGAACATTCAATTGATTTTACCTGACCTTATAAGTTATAACGGTATAACCTAAGCCTACTTCTACAAGATCCAAAGGGTCATATACTTATTATTTCTTGCTTTGCATCAAGCTAATAGCAGTAGGATTCTAAAATATTTGAAATAATCCAGTAAACCTGTTTATTTGTGAATAGTTATGAACAACTGGCCCAAACCTAGTTAAAAACAAACTGTTTTTCTTACGTTTTTACTATTATTTACCTTTTTTCTTATTTACTCTAGTATTAACCGGTGTGTTTTGGGTCGAAAAACTTAAATCGAAGAAATCCCGTCAAGCAAACCGGCATAAGCATCGACAATGAACCGACTTTACTAACTTCAAAGCTGAGTGATGAATCACATTTAATAAAGCCATTTCAATTTAAGACAAACCACAAGAAAGCAATGAAGAAGGATATATGTTCCTCTTATTTAAATTTTCAGCACAAAAAAACGTACTCTCTCTCTCTCTCTCATGTTGCATGAATCTCTCTCTGTCCCCTCCATTATTAATGAATGCTTCTCTCTTCTATGTCTCTTCATCTCTACATACATATAGATACATATGTATATATGCATGTGCTTGTATAGGTCTAGAAAAACAGAGTGCAGTGCCAATAAATGCCCAGCATTTAATAAAAGGAGCCCATTTAATGCTTTTCATTTTCTCTGCACCTCATCTTGTTGTGTGTGGTAAGTGTCTCTCTCCCTCCTTTATCTCTCTTCTCTCTCTCTCTCTCTCTCTCTCTCTCTCACCCCATTTTCCCCTGTTTTTGTAACACAATATCTTGCATTTACTCTCTATACACAGAGCCAAAGGGTAGAGCACAGTATGTATGTTTTGGGCACAGATCTTTATGTTTTGCTCTCTCTCTCTCTCTCTCTCTCTCTCTCAGCTTGACTTTCATATGTTCAAAGTCTTGATGCATTATTGCTCTTACTTTTTCAATTGTATTAAATTTGTGTTGGAATTGAAATTTTGAACAAAATAAAAATAAAAAATCAGGTCAATATTCATTTATTAGAGGATGGTGTTTTTTCCCGTCAAGATGGTCAACGTGTCGTATCAAATACGAATGCAACTTAAAATGAAATACTATTGAAATGTCATGCTTTCGAGTTTCATCTACGGAAGAATGATTAGTCGATGAGATGATATATAACAAGCTAAATATGATTCTTGATTTTGAGACAATTTTCATAACACGATTGTTCGAAGAGTGGAATTTTCCGAACATCGATTTTCGCCTAGCTAGTCGACAATTATTGTCATCTCCTTATTACATCTTAGAAGAATGCAATGTAACCTTAAAACACAAACACACATAGTTCATATTATGTGCATGTTAACAGTAGTATTGCACATGTTTTCACCAATATTATTGTGCACATTCAGTGTTACTATTGTGTACATTTAACAACATTATTTTGTATTATTGCAACATTTTTTTCATGTTTGGCTTTAAAAAAATGTGAATATATATTTTCACATACATAATTAAGTGAGGGAGTGTATGTGGCAATAGTAAATTGGTGGACAACTAAAGGGGAAGAAGAGAACAACAATTGGAAGCAATAAATAACATATATCATTAAATATGAGAATTTCTCTGTCCCATGGAATCAATCATTCAATATCCTAGTCCAAATTTATGGAAATAATTGCACTGCATTTAGATAAATAGCAATAAATAAAACAAACTATGCTAACCTGAATTATTATTATTATTATTATTATTATTATTATTATTATTATTATTATTATTATTATTATTATTATTATTATTATTATTATTATTATTATTATTATGTAACATCCAAAAACTCATTCTATATATCAGACTAAGGAGGCATTGAATGCACACACAATAGCCAGCTGAGGACTTGCTAAAGTGCTCTGAATTGTCTTTTCACATTTATGTTTGCACATTCAAAAAAAAACCTCTGCACCTTTTTTCTTGCCATAATTTTCTTCATTTCCTTAGTGCACAACAAATCTTCAATAGAAAAGAGAAAAAATTTTCTTTGTGGGCTGTGTTTGTTTTCAGTGTTTGTGTGAATCAAATGAAGAAAACAAGAAGAATCTAAGGAAAAAAAAAAGTAATCTTTTGTTTGTTTGTTTGTGTTTTTTTAAGTGTGTGTGTGTGTGTGTGTGTGTGTGTGTGTTTTGATGGGCAGGGCACCATGTTGTGATAAGAAGGGGTTGAAAAGGGGGCCTTGGACCCCTGAGGAAGATGAGAAACTGGTGAGCTTTATCAACAAAAATGGCCATGGCAGCTGGCGCTCTCTTCCTAAGCTTGCAGGTTATTTCTTGATTTATGGATTTTGTTTCAAGAAAAAAAAAGATCCTACCTTTATGAGCCAATTTATTTATTTAAATTTTTTATTTTAGTCTAATGTTTCAAGAAAAAAAGATCCTACCTTTATGAGCCAATAAATGATGTATAATCTTGTGGGCTCAAGAACTTTAATCTGTAAATGAGCTCAATGATCTTGAATTTCAATGATCTTGAATTTCACTTTACACTAAGTCAACATATAATTAAGTGCTTCTAGGAGTTAAAAAAAAAATTGTAAATCATTTATAAATCTCACAGAATTTTGGAAGTGCATTATACAAAGTGCCTTTTGTTATTTTATTACAGGGCTCCTTCGTTGTGGGAAAAGCTGCAGGCTGCGTTGGACAAATTATCTAAGGCCAGACATTAAAAGAGGCCCTTTTAGCCCTCATGAAGAGAAGCTTGTCATTCAGTTGCATGCCATTCTTGGCAACAGGTTTGCTTTTATTTTTTTGTTTGTATTTTTATGTGATTTTCTAAAGCTCCAAGTGCTTTATTTGAAGATTTCATACCTTAAATCTCACAAATTGATGGTTAAAATTAGCAAAATAAACCCACATTCACCTCAGGTGTGTGTTTCTTGATAGAGCATTTGTATTCCAAAAACCAAAAAGTTTTGATCTTTTTCCTGTAACCAAACCAGGTAGACCTCAAAAGGGTGCTTAATTCTCCAGTCATCCTCATTTTCTTTATAAATTTATATTTTTTTTTTCACATATTTCTTCCCAATTATTTGTCATACAGATGGGCTGCAATAGCCTCTCAACTCCCAGGAAGAACAGACAATGAGATCAAGAACCTATGGAACACCCACCTCAAGAAGCAGCTCCCCCACTTGGGCCTCGACCCCCGGGCCCACGAACCCCCTCCCAAGCCCGACGGGCCAAGACCCCGCTCGGCGGCCCGCCACATGGCCCAATGGGAGAGCGCCCGCCTCGAGGCCGAGGCCCGCCTCTCCCGGCCAGAGCCCACCGGCGACTTTTTCCTCCGGCTGTGGAATTCGGAGGTGGGCGAGACTTTCCGGGACCTGAGCAAGATGGGCTATGGGTCCCCACCGAGCACCGTGGCCTCGTTCGTCTCGTCCGGTGGGGGAGTCGAGGAGAACGTGGGGCCCGCGAGCCCGCGCGAGGCAGAGGACACGTCGGAGTCCGAGCTGCACGAGCTGCTTCTGGATTTCCCGGTCGAAGACGACATGATGAGCTTATTGGGGCAGCCTGATGATTATGGTGGTTATTATTATGGTTCTGGTCTTTGTTGAAGGAGCTTTTGGTTTTTAGTTGAATGCATGTTTGATGTGTTCCACAATGTGTTTTTGTTGTGTGTTTTGTGCAAGTAAATAGGCAGTTTTTTTGTTGTTGGCTAAGTTAAATTTCTTTTCCCTGACTAAGGGAAAATAAGTAACAGTTTGTATTGGCATTGGCAGGTGAGGTGACTGACTAATTGAGATTGTTATTCAACTTTCTGAGTAATGTTGAGCTTGTTATAAGCTCTCTTTTGAAGTATTTGGTACACTCTTTTCTTGTTCTTTTTTTTTTTTT